TTTAGAAGAGGCTTCCTTGTGGGATGACAGCCCTGGCGACCAATTTGATGCAGTGTGTGGCATATGGTCTGAGCACTACCAGGTTGATCTGCCCACCCCTTCAACCTGTGCAGCAATGCTGGCAGTACTCATGAGTACTCAGTACTCATATTTCCCAAAGCCAGCCTGTGGATGTGACACTGAGCACGGGTATTTAACTTCTTTTGGTTGATCATGGCGAGGCCTGAGTGGAACCTGTCCTGTTAAACTGCTGTATGGTCTTGGCCACTGTGCTGCAGCTCAGTTTCAGCGTTTTGGCAGTCTTCTTATAGCCTAGGCCATCTTTATATAGAGCAACAATTTGTTTTTTTCAGATCCTTAGATAGTTCATTACCATGAGGTGCCATGTGGAACTTCCAGTGACCAGTCTGAGAGAGTGACAGTGATAACACCTGCTCCCCCTTCACACCTGAGACTTGTGACACTAACGGGTCTCATGACACCAGGTAGGGAAAACGGCTACTTAGGCCCAATTTGGACATTGTCACTTAGGGGTGTACTAACTTTTGTTGCCAGTGGTTTAGACATTAATGGCTGTGTGTTGCGTTATTTTGAGCGGACAGCACATTTATACTGTTATAAAAGCTGTATACTCACTGCTTTACATTGTAGCCAAATGCTATTTCATCAGTGTTGTCACATGAAAATATATACTAATATATTTATGAAATGTGAGGGGGTGTGCTCACTTTTGTGATATACCGTAAGTCAGACCTGGGCAAAGTGCGGCCCACAGGCCACATACGGCCTGCGAGCCACTCCTGTCTGGCCCGCCAATCATCACTCCAGTCTGGCCCGACCATCGCCGCTCCCGTCCGGCCTGACCGTCACTGCTGAATGAGCCGGAGCTCCGGCTCCAGTCACCCAGCACAGCAGTAAGCAAAACTCGTGAGATCTGGCGCTGGGATCTCAGGTTTTGACTGTTACTCTTGAGCTGCAAGCATATTTCATGTGAATTTATTGAAGGAATGGAGAGAACGGGAAGTATTGTGGGGAGAAGTAGAAGAAAATGACTTAGGTCCTGAGGCCATGGTCTGTTTGCAAGTGACACAATAACTCTCTTTAGGGGAAGAATTGAAAACAGATCAAATTGATCAAGTTAGAAAGATAGAAGAAAAATTTAAAGATGTTTTCTCTAATAGACCAGGGTACACCATGATGGTTGAACGTCAGATTAATACCTTGCCTCAAGTTGTCGTTAGGGGGAAGGAATTAGCTACATCACCTAAGGGAGATGTCAGATTAATACCTTGCCTCAAGTTGTGGTTAGGTTAGGGAGAAGGAATTAGCTACATCACCTAAGGGAGACAATTAATAGAGAAGTAGAGGAAATGTTGGCATTCAGAGTGATAGAACCCTCTTACAGTCCATGGAGAGGTTACGCAGTAGTGGTCCCCAAGCCAGATGGAAGTGTGAGGTTGTGTATTGGCTTTAGGAAATTAAACGAGGTATCCAAGTTTGATACTTACCCTATGCCTAAGGTAGAAGATCTGTTAAAAAGACTTGGGAGAGCTGAGTTCTTGTCTATAGATATGACAAAAGGCTATTGGCAGATTCTATTAAGGTCTAACGATAAAGGAAAAACTGCTTTTTTCACTCCCAGATGATTATTCCAGTTTACCCGCATGCCATTTGGGTTGCATGGAGCAGCTGCTAGCTTTCAGAGATTAATGGATAGAATTTTGGAACCTGTACGAGCATTTGCCAGGGCTTATATCAATTATATTTTGATTTACAGTAATAGCTGTAAAGAACATGTGGAGCATTTAGAGAAGGTGTTGATCGAGTTGAGGAAAGCAGAACTCAAGGTGAATCCTTCTAAATGTAAGATAGTGAAGAGGGGAGTGAAATTCTTAGGATTCCAGGTAGAACAAGGAAAAATTCATCAAGTACAAGACAAAGTAGAGAAAATATCAGATTGGTCACCACCCAGGAAAAAGAAATTCAACAATTTTTGGAACTAGCAGGTTATTATTGTCACTTTGTACATAACTTTGCAGAGATTGCAGCACCCCTCACTGATTTAACTAAGAAGAGGGTAGCCAGTAGGATAAGATGGGGATTTGCAGAACAAAAAGCGTTTGACCAATTGAAAGAGATGTTAAATAGCTTGTCCAGTAGATATGCCCCAGACTTCAATACCCCATTTATAGTACAAACCAATGCATCAGACAGAGGAATAGATGTTGTGTTGACCCAAATTCAGGGAGGTATGTAATATCTTGTCATGTATTTGAGTAAAAAGCTGTCACCACGAGAACAAAAGTATGCTACTATCGAAAAAGAAGCATTGGCAGCAAAATGGGCTATACAGTTACTGAGGTATTATTTATTGGGAGCTCCCTTCACTTTAGTTACAGACCATGCCCCTCTACAATGGCTGAATTGAATGAAAGACACTAATCCTAGATTGACTAGAAGATGGCATCTATGTTTACAACTGTTTGCATTTAATGTTTAATATAAGAAAGGTAGTACACTAATGCTGATTATTTTTCCCAACAGGGTGCATGGGGAGTTGCATTGGAGGAGAGGACGGCACATTCGTCGGGGGGCAGGCGTGTGAAGGAGAGATAGAAAAAAGACAGAAGGAACAGTGAGCCATCCTCACGAATAGAGATATCGGAGAGAGAGAGAGAGAGAGGTGGAAAAAAAATAGAAAAGCAGGAATTGATTGTAGAAGAAAGAGAAGGAAAGGAATCAAAGGGAAGAGATGAAAAAGTTGAAATCTGTTTGGTGGAAGGAGAAGGAAAAAAGGAGGAGTTAATTCTACCAGTATAGGAAGAGGATATAGAAGGTCAAAGGGGGAGGAGAGTTTTTAGTATATCAAGGAAACAAGGGAGGAAGAGAGAATAATAGAAAAGCAGGAATTGATTGTAGAAGAAAGAGAAGGAAAGGAATCAAAGGGAAGAGATGAAAAAGTTGAAATCTGTTTGGTGGAAGGAGAAGGAAAAAAGGAGGAGTTAATTCTACCAGTATAGGAAGAGGATATAGAAGGTCAAAGGGGGAGGAGAGTTTTTAGTATATCAAGGAAACAAGGGAGGAAGAGAGAGATGAGAAAGTATGAATACAGATATGAAAAAACACGCAGATTGTTAGAAGACTTCCATAACCTGAAAGTGGGAGGATTGCTACCAGATCCTGAATTAAGAAAGGAAAAAGGATCAGTAACAGACACTAGAATGGACAGTTGTAGTCTTTCCATGAGGGCAAGGTCACTGGAGAAAGGTGATCAGACCAAATCAGTCTTTCAACCAACACCACAGGAGGGAGACTGGGCTAGACACTCGTGTTGTGGAATGATATGCATGATGTACAGTGCTCCACTGAGGAAACCATCAGATCGGGAGTGGGTTGGACCACCCCCTCAATGAACTTTTCCAATCTACAAATGGAGTTTTCATCATCACGTTATGGACAGTTACCTAATCTGAGTTGTTTTGATCCTATAGAAGTTGTGGAATTGCCAAATGTTAAGGCAAATAAATCTCTTGATGTTTCAAAAGAGGCTCAGTTGTCATTTCCCGCAAAAAAAGAGGAACTGCTTCAGATTTCTAATGAACCCAATCACACTGTGGCTGTCAATATTATTTGTTCCCACGTGGATCAGAAGGCAGTGAAGATGGTGACTGGTCTTAATTAGAGATGGGTATGAATCACACTTTGGCAGTGTAGTCCAGTCCCCTCACAGGTGTTCTGCGGTCACTATGTACTTCCTCCCCAGAGAAGCCAGTGGTGTTGTGGAGGAAGGAACTGCACTGCTGCTGCTGAGTGGCTGATCACCTGGAGGAGGGAAGCATACAGCGCCCGTCGGAAACCTATTTGGGGCTGTGCTGAACTGGGCCAAACTGCTGAAGCACAGTTTGTGCACATCTCTTATACTGATAAGTCCTGACAGGGTCTCTATCATGTCAGGTACTCAAAACTGCCACTCCTGAAGGAACAAGTCACCTAACAGCAAGTCACATCTTCTATAGGAAGTGGTAAAACTCATTCCACAGAATACTCCAGGACACATCTATTCTTGTTGTTGTCTACCATCCTTCTTCTAGTAGCTCAGAATCCCTGTCCATGGGAAGGGCTAGAGATTGTTTCTATTGTTCAAGGGGCTGATATTGATTCTGTACTATGAAACATGGTTTCTGATAGTCTAGCTTCTCTGTGTTACATTTCTCCGAGTACTTGCCTCCTGTACTTACCGTTTTACCAAAAATAAGACCTAACCTGAAAATAAGACCTAGTATTTTCTTCTTCCCTAGTGACATCCCCTTCTCTCATAGAATCAAAATAATGGAGTTGGAAGAGGCCTTTCAGCCCATTAAATCCAACCCCCTGCTGTACCCTTTCTTCTAGCATGACCACCAGTTGGTGCTTGTCACAGGTGTAGGTTTCTGCATCCTCAGGCAGGATGAGAAATGCCACATGTACTGCAGGTCACTACAAAAGCTCCTTCCGTATCTACACGTTTTGTCATATGCCAATGCTGAAACAAAACTCCCCCTCAAACATCCCTGTTTAAACACCCACAAAAATGCCTCTGCTCACAATCTTGTAGGGATCTGAATGCAGCTAGATCAAGCAGCTAATAGCATCTTCAGGAAATCCTGTGGCAACTTCTCAGTTGTAGCCTCTCCCTTTAGCACCATGTACCTGGAGCAGTGTAAACTGGTCTAATCAAATAAAGCACCACAAACACACAAACCAACCTCCAAACAGCTCAGACAAACAATATGCCTGAAGCCAATATTGCACACAAAATGCCTGTTTACTAAGCCTGTTTATAAACTCCTGCGCACAAGATTGTATTCACAAGCTCTCAGGCATCTTGACTGCAGCTGAAGACATGGCAGCTGGACTTAGTTAAAAATATACTATTAACACACTAAAAGTGAAACATTTACTCTTTATTCTTTTTGCAAGTACATGAAAAACCAGTTTCATTCAAAATTAAATATAAAAAAGTTATCTGCAATGTAATACAACCATAACTGTTGGATCTAGAACATCCCATTCCAAAGATGTTATTTTAAACAAAATATTGTTATTTAAACAATATTCAATTGTGGAATGTCCCATAATATTTTAACAAAATAATCAAGGCAAATGCACCAAGAACTTAGTACTGGCTTGCTTGTAACTATTGCTGCATTGCATGTTAATAAAAGGCACATACTTTTATCTGCATATAAAAATAGAGCCCCATCATCATTAAACAACATCAGTATTCTTTAAAAAAGCCGTATCTGAAAAAAAGATCCAGATATAAAGCTCTATCTGAAAAAAAAATCACTACCTCATAAAGGGTTGTTCCAGACTCCTTTTGTGACATTTTGGATGAATCACACTTTATGAGAATCATTAGTGTCTCACTAAGGTACCATTTAGCTCTTTTATGTCAGATGTGCATTCTCAAGGATAGCATAACTTGAGTTTTTGTGCTTCTTTCTTGGAACACACTATACTGTGAATCAATCAGAACAGATCAGTATTGGAGAACCTTAAAAAAGAATTGGGATACAGTGGTGCCTCGCACAACGAGTGCCTCACACAACGATAAATTCACACAACGATGGCTTTTTCTGAAAATTTTGCCGCCTCACACAACGATGTTTCCTATGGGGAATTTTTGCACAACGTCTCTTCACTCATTTAAAAGTGCCTTAAACTGTTTGAAACCTGTTTTAAATGCTTGCAATCGTTAGCCCACCTCCTGAAGCCTATGCAAACTTAATTTGTTGTTGTTCTGAGTTTTCGTTAATTTTTGGTGAATTTTTTTATTCTCCATTGAAAGCCATTGGATGGACCGTTCAATGGCTTTCAATGGAGAATAAAAAATTCACCAAAAATTAACGAAAACTCAGAACAACAACAAATTAAGTTTGCATAGGTTTCAGGAGGTGGGCTAACGATTGCAAGCATTTAAAACAGGTTTCAAACAGTTTAAGACACTTCTACAGGAGCGAAAAGGGACTTCGCAAACCCATTCAAATGCAATGAGTCGGCTTCAATGCATTTCAATTGGGGAACCGCGTTTCCCTCAACGATGTTTCCTATGCCGATTTTCACTTAAGGATGGCAATCCGTTCAAATTGGAACGGATTAACCGGTTTTCAATGCATTCCTATGGGAAATGGTGTTTCACAGAATGATGTTTTCACAGAACGGGTTTTTTTTTTTTGAACCAATTAACATCGTTTTGCGAGCCACCACTGTATATTCCTTTGAAACTGTATGCTTTGGTTAACAAGAACCAAAATTGCAAAAAACAAATGGAACAAAAACAAACCAATGTACAGAAATAACTGGCAAATTGTTACAGCTTTCCCTCAATTAGTGAAGTGAAGGGATAGACCTTTACTTGCACTAATATCTGCCTCTTGCCAGCTGGCTCAGATCCTTTACTCTTCCCATTTACACTCTTAGTAGCCCCCTACTTTCATGGTCCATTTGTCCAGAATAGGCAATCAGGTACCCACTAAAGGGACAGGCTGAAAGAGCTTGAACAGTCTAAATACACAGTATATTAGAACTAATATGTTGGAGAAATAGGCCAGACAGAGGGAATGAGCTAATGGCACAAAACCCAAGTTAAAAGACAGTCATTTTTCCAAAGCTGCTTTAATATAAACCATATATTATCCTGGACTGTCACCCCAGGGGAACTCTGAGAGAAAAAAAAAATATCCATGATCTTCTACATGCAATGAACAATGTTATCAGTCATATATTAAAGTGACTTTGTTCTTTGAGGGTAATGTGAAAATACCATTACAAAGCTTTTGCTGTCAAACAAACTTTCTTTGATTTATATAAATAAAATACATGTGACCACATCCCCAATTCTTTTCCTCCATTTCTCATTTTCACACTGTTTTTATTAGATCAAGAGTTATATGAAGGTGAGCTCTACAAACCTGGTTGTTCTTAGGAAGAATGGGAGGCAGCAACTTTTTCTGAATTCCTCCTCCCATTGAGATCCCAGTGCCTCTGAAAAACTGGTTGTGAGGGTTTTTGGGACCCTTCATACCAGACTGTATATAGGTACTGATGTCTATAGGGCCAAAGAAGAATAAATGAAAGTCCTTCTGTTTGCAGAAAAGCTTTACTAGTTCTAACCCACTGTTACGTAAAGAGGACTGAACAGATCGTAGGGTTTGGAAGATTTCATACATCGTTCCTTAAAGTATGAGGAAAGAGTAAAATTCTTATCTATTCCAGCAGACAACAATTCATAATAATAATATTTGATTACAGTATAAAGACATGAAAAACCGTGTGCCTGAAGTATCCATTGCTTTAGGCAAACATATAAATGCCATACTAAAAAATTTATCTCACATTTGCACAGTCTTGTGGAACAAGCAGGCCAGATATGTGGGATGAAAAGGCGTAATCTCACAGCACCCATTGTGCATCAAAAGAAAAGCTGAGAGAATATAAATTAAACCAAGTCAACCAAGAATGAAATAACACGTGTTTCTCTGATGTGTATCATCTGTGACTCTCTCTCTTCCCAAAGAATGGCTACAAAGATTAGGGCCCATCCACAGCAGCACTTCAAAAGAGTTCCACAGACAGAGCAATCTACATATACATCATGCATGCTACCTGTCCACTCTTAAAAGTACTATCTCTGGATAGAAACCACAGTCTATATAGCCATTTCCCTTTTTGTATTTTATATTGACTCTTGGATCATTTGTGTGCATTTTGGCACATCACTTCCCCCAAAGAAACTTGGGTTTAACGACCAATACTTCATATTTAAATATCAAATTACCACTTGGATATGTGTGTTGAACTATTATGCTTAGTATTTTTCATAAGGACATATGATCAATACAGAGAAAAGAAAATACAAATTAATTTGAAGTAATGATTACTGTGTTCTCTTCCAAGGAAACCACAGTGGGGAAAAAATTCCCTTTGAAATTTCTACACATATTAACTGTTTAGATCAGATTTGCAGAAGTATTTTGAGTCATCCAAACATGGAGGCAATAAAGCAGCATCTCACCTTTAAAAGGTAAGACATGAAGCAGTGTTCAGATTCTCTTCTAGTGTACATAAATCCATGGGGAACAGCAACCTTTACAGCAGTGATACAGCATACAACAGATGAAAAATTTGTGGTTATTACAAAAGAGGCATTCGAGATATTAAATTACCATATATGTTCTCATTAATAAAGTGCATCAGATACCCACCCTGAGAGTAAATGCTGAAAATGTTAACAGGACTAAAGCATTTCCTCCCAGCAGAATATACAAGGAGACCCCAGGCATCCTCAGTTCACTGATAGTTGTCACATTAAACGTGCTGATGTCTGATTATTCCTCGGCTAGTTCAACTGAGGTAACTCCATTATGCGTTAAGAAAGACAGCAGTTAGATTTGTCCATTCCCAGTGAATCAGCTGAAAACCCCTACACTGATGGAGAGTGCAGTTTCAGGTTTACGTTGTTTAGCCAGTTTTTTCCCATGGAAAGGATCTTTCTGCAAACAGTCGTTTTGTTGACTACTGGAAAATAAAAACAGATACATTATGAAGTTAATAAACTGAAGTACAGTGGTGCCTTGACTCACGACCAGCTTGACCTACAAACATTTTGACTTACGAACAACTCTGTTTGCAAAATTTTGCTTTGACTTGCGAACGGAGCTTTTGAGTTATGAACGGAAAAAGGCAGGGGAAAAGGGTGGGAAATTCAAATAGACTAACTGTTGGTGGTAGAGAGGCTGCTTCTTTGCAGTTCGTTCGCCCCAACGGTTTGGGAAAGGGATGTGGTGGTGGTGGTCCGGCTGGGAGGCAAGGACCCATCCCAGCCAGGCTCTGGCTCCCAGTGCTGGGTTCATCTGCGCTGCTCGCTTCGTGGCTGGTTTCTGGGAGCCAGAGCGCGGCCAGGAGGTAAGGACGCATCCCAGCCAGGCAGCGGTGGCGGAGCCCAGGCCAGGCAGTGGCGGAAGGCCAGGAGGCCTCCTGGAGGGCTCCCGCTGATGGTGGTTGCGGCAACAGAGGAAGCCCTAGTGGGCTCCCACCGACGCCAGTCTTGGCGGTGGTGGATCCCGCTCGGCGGCGGCAGAAGCCCTGGGAGGCCTCCCAGAGGGCTCCCTCTGTTGTGAGCGCGCTGAAGCCTCTATTATCTCAGGCCTCCAGGAGGTGCTCACTCTTTTTCACAAGTTGCTGCCACCAATACCAATTCAGTATCAATTATTTACTGAGACATGTGTTGCTTTGAAACTTAAACTTGTTTATTTGATCAGTAATATATAATAGGTAAATCACAAGTTGCTAATCAGTTTCTCTCACTCACTGACACACAGAACCCTACTCTCACTGACTTTCTGGCTCACTGACTCACAGATCGCCAAACTGACTCTCATACTCCATACACCCAATTGCCAAACTGACTCTCATACTCCATACACCCCCCTTTATATCCCAGCCCCTCCCCCTTTAGCACCACCTTCCATTCACTCATTGGTTCCTTTTTCCATTGCTCAGCTGTGATGGACAGGTGAGGGCAGGGCTGAACGCTACACCCTCCAATGGTGGTTTTGGCAGCAGCGGAAGCCCTGGTGGGTTCCTGTAGGGCGCCAACAATGGCAGTCCTGGCGGTGGCGGAGCCCATGCGGCAGCGGAGGAAGCCCTGGGAGGTTTCAGAGGAGGCTTCGTGGTGAGGTAAGGTACTGCTTTTTGCATTTTAAAAACTTTTTTGGGTGGCTTTTGCAGGGTGGGATTGGGCTGGTGGGGTTATGTTTATTTGTTGTTTTTTTGCAGCCCCAGGGGTAGTGTAGTGTTTTATTTTTATTTTTTTAAAATGCTGGAACGGATTAATCCCATTCCCATGCATTTCAATGGGAAATGGTGCTTTGGCTTATGAACAGTTTGACTTATGAACGCCATTCCGATACGGATTAAGTTTGTAAATCTAGGCACCACTGTATTAGAAATCTATGCAAGGTAAACTTCAATCTGAGACACAAATCTGTTTTGGTAAATGCTATAGCAAGTGGCACTCAGCAGCAGAATGTCTACACTGTGCATTAAGAAATGCTGTTACACAGAAGATGCCTTTTTAGAACAGTTGATGTCCTTTAGGTTGTATCCTGTGCTCACTGAACTGAGAGTAGGAATAGGCATCTTTCAGTCTCAAGAGACTATGGTATTGTGCTCTGCATGGAGGACTTGGAACAGCGTCTAGTGTGGCTGAGAAGGCCAATTCAAGAGTGACATGAAGGGTCCAGGACTCTAAAGTACAGGAGTGTACTCAGGACACAGGCTCTATAGACCTGGATCTTGGTGTATGCCGTCAGCTTCTTATTGAGTCATACTCTCTGTGTGAGTCTAGAGAACATGGTAGCTGCTTTGCCAATGTGTTTATCCAGCTTGACATCTAGGGAGAGAGTGTCAGAGATCGTTGAGCCAAGGGACACAAATTCATGGACAACCTCCAATTCATGCATGGAGATGGTAATAGAGGGAGGTGAGTCCATGCCCTGGCCCATGACTTGTGTTTTCTTCAGGCTGATAGTCCAAAGTCTTGGCAGGCCTTGCTAAAACAATTCATGAGTTGTTGGAGGTCTTCGGCAGAGTGGCCAACAATGGCTGCATCATCGGCGACCAGGAAGTCCCGCATGCATTTCAGCTGGACTTTGGTCTTTGCTCTCAATCTAGAGAGATTAAAGAGCTTTCCATCTGATCTAGTCCGGAGATAGACACCTTCTGTTGCAGTTCCAAAGGCACGCTTCAGCATGACAGCAAAATATATCCCAAACAGGGTTGGTGCGAGCACACAGCCCTGTTTCACTCCACTTCGGATGTCAAAGGGATCTGATACTGAGCCATCAAAAACTACAGTGCGCTTCATTCCCTCATGAAAGGACCTGATGATGCTAAGGAGTCCAGGAGGACATCCAATCTTAGGAAGTATTTTTAAAAGGCCATCCCTGCTAACCAAGTCAAATGCTTTTCTAAGATCTATGAAGGCCACTAAGAGTGGCTGTTGTTGTTCCCTGCATTTCTCCTGCAACTGTCTGAGGGAGAATACCATGTCAGTGGTGGATCAGTGAAATGAGTGGGGCCTGCTTCTGTGCAGACCTCTACAGGACTGCATAATTTTAGATGACCCTCCCTTGAAGGTGGAATCATCAGGAAAAATATATCCACTGCATATCTGCATTTGATCCCACAAGTTCATGGCAAATTAATTTTGCCAGGCATTTTTTCTTAGAGATAAGTTAGGAAAGAAGCAGGCTGCAATTGAGCTAATATCTGATCAAAAGCTTCTTCAGCTGTAACTTTAAAACTACAACTGCATTTTGTGTAATGTTCATCTCTACATATGAGGCATGTAGAAGTTACAAAAAAGAAACTCTTAAGTTAAATAAATGTGGGTTGAACTTGCTTTGGAATTGTTTAAGTGAAAAAGGGGAAAGACATTCATGTTACAACTACTAACTGAAAATGATTGGATCCAGAGATTTATATGCGGAGAACCAATTCCACAAAGTCTGACTGGCATTATTTGATCAGATTTAATTCTTTGTGTCACATCTTGCTTCACAGCCATACTGCTTGTTCTGAGTTTGTCATTTCCACATCACCTGATTGAAAATGGACTAATCCAGACATTAATTCACTTATAGGAAGGAATTATTGTGATGTTTAAACATTCAAGTTCTTGTTTTATATTTTGAACTAACCTTAGTTCGTACTTCTCACATTGCATGCTGCAATTACATGCTTCTTATAGCTCTCAACTTTCCATTTATATCTATACAGACCAATAACAGTATGTTCATTTGGCTTCAATCCCTCTGCTTTATAAGGAACAGTGTTATTCATACCCTTTTCTCTTTCTACAGAAGCTGAATGCCTCCTAAGCTAGTTAAGCATGATTACTTGTTTCATTTTGGATAGTCTTATTGTAGAGGTTTTGAGGTATAAAATAATCCAGATGTACCATATTTTTCGCTCCGTAAGACGGACCTCTCCATAAGGCTCATCAAATTTTTAGGAGAAGAAAACAGGGAAAAATTAATCTGTTTTCTTCTCCTAAAAATTTGGTGAGCCTTATGGAGAGGTCCGTCTTGTGGAACACACCCTAGCCCCCTCTGGCCCTGTGGGGGGTGGGGGGAGCCCCGCAAGGGTCCTGGAAGGCTCACTCAGACCCTTGGGAGGCTCCCCCCCACGGGGCCAGTGGGGGTGAAATCACCACCTTCGCTCCATAAGTCGCACAGACTTCCCCCCACTTTTTTTGGGGAGGGAGAAATGTGTCTTATGGAGCAAAAAATACGGTACTTTGTAAGTAGCTTCTTATGCACAGCATTAACAAGAAGTAGCCTGAAAAGTCATAGCCATTATCTGTGAAAGATCTTCCACCAGTGCCACTTTCCACCAGCTGCTCCCATCCTGCACTGGAACTATCTTTCTCTGCTACATCCGGAAGAAGATAGATGCATCTTAGGCTCTGATCACACAAGCCAAATGTACCTCAGTTATACTCCAGTTGTATCATTACATACATTTCTCATCAGATGACGCACAGCCATGACTGAATCATTTCCCAAGCCAGATACAACCTTGTATCTGCGGTTTATTTCCCCCTCACCAGAAGGGTTGTGTTATTTTGTTCCAATGACATATTGGATAATTCCTTACTGGTGTTGCATGTGTGAATGTCGCTACTGGTTCTTTTCCAGTGACAAGACCACAGGGAAGGTGACCACCATTATTGCCATGTGGCTGCTCTGCAATTAATTCACTTTTTTTTTCACGGTCAGTAAATTGATACACAGGTGTCAACGGCCTCGCAGCTTGGGAAGTTTCCCAACTATGCCAAGTATGCCAGGGCACTGGTAGGTATTGCATTGCTCCACCTACTGTCTGGCATGGAGAGGCTGGACCATTGTGTGCAATGCATTTCTTCAAACACTACTGATGTCTACAGATAAAATGTTCCCAAACGGGAATCCCTTCACAACGTACTAATGCACTGGTAAAATATGTTTTTTTTAAAATATATATAAAGTAAGGGGCTGTGCTGCTCCAGGAAACAAGAGAGAAAATAAATCAGTTTCATGGTGTAGGCGGCCATAAAGTTTTAAACTGGAAGAAATGAATCAGTAATGCTAAAACAAATGGGAACGTTTGCCCTGGTATATATATCACATGACTGTGATTCAGTACAACAGAGGTATGGAAAGAATAAACAGAACTGGAGTATATTTGGTTGGAATGATCAGGCCATTAGTCTGGTGTCTCAGTTTTGACCCTTCCGTTCTAGTTAAAGTGCACGGAGTTCAGATTCACAAAGGAGTCAAAGCCTCCTAATATCTCCCTGACATACTCAACTCCCCTCCCCATGTTAAGGTAGGCATCCCAAAAGGAGATGTGAAACCACAGGAAAATCTATTTTATTGAGTTTTACTTTCATGTTTTATCTTACTAAGGGTATGAATTCTATAAATATATAAAATATATTTACCTTTGCTTTTCAACAGCAAGCTGCTTCTTCATTTGTTTTCCGATGTCATCTTTCATAGTACTGAAGTCTTTACTATCATCAACTAGGAGATTCTGTTACCAAAAGTATTGACATGGCTATAAAAACAATTCCTGACAGTATATTTATTTATTTTATTTATTTATTTATTTAGTAATATTTTACTAACTATATTAAAATATATTGAATCTCGTTATTAAATCTATATTGAATCTTGTTTTCATTTTTCTTTATTTTTTTCCTAAACGTTTTTTTAAACTCTCTAATGCTATTCCCATTAACACATTTCATTCTAAAACAGAAATCAGAAAACTTTGGCTCTTAAAATGTTTCTTGCAAAAACTCGCATATCTCTCTATCAGCCATGGTGGATAAAGCTAATGAAAGTCATAAAGTACAGACCAAGACATTAGGAGGAACATTTGGTATTCCATGCCTCTGTTGTGAAAATGATAATTTAAGCTGTGTGGAATATAATGTAACAAAATTGTTGGAAAAGCTGTCTTGTCAATATAGAATTGTGAAGGAGTGTGAAGCAATGTTTAATTATACATTTTTTTTTAAAAAAGGCTATTCTGACCCCAGACCAAAGGCTCTCAAATCATCTAACAATGTAAGAAGAAATGAAGTATGAATGAAAAATGGCAGAATACATGTGGGATAGAAGGGAAACCTGATCTCCAACACAATAATTTTATGTTAAAATCAACAAAAAACAAGCAAGTACCCATATCATAAAGTCAACCCCAGATAATTAAATCTAATGTACCTTACAGTTGCCGAGACATTTCAAAGCAAGTAATTTTTGAGATCTGCTTAAAAAGACTGCAAACATCTAGCTTCCTTTTTGTAACTCACAGCTTACTAATACAAAGCATTTCAAGAATTCTGTACACTAAGAGAATACAAACCACAATATGCTAATAATTAAATAATCATTCGAAGACCCATAGTCTGTAAGTGCTGAGTGGTTTTATTTAATTTATTCATCTGCTGCTATCTTACAGGATCAAAGCAATCCTATTAAGAAATTCATCCAGGTAACCACTACTTCTCTCCAAAACGACACTCTCTTCTGCTCCCATTTGGCCCTATCATTCTCATTCCACCAAGTTCTCTAACTCTCTGCAGGAGTGACTCCTTTTACTGCCCAGTCCCTCCGTTACAGATGTCAGTTTCTTCTAATCAATGTAGCTATTTAGCTTGCTCAGTGGAAGCCATTTCCCCAAAGTTTGTATTGTGTCCTGTCATTATAAATTATGGTAAACTTTGATTGGTATCAGCTGGTTGGATAGCTCAGTGTGTTAGGCTTCTGGCTGTGGAGCCAAAGGTTGGGAGTTCAATTCCTCACTGTGCATCTCAAAAGAGCTAGCCTGTGTCAGTCACCTTGGGCAAGCTGCAGAATCCCCGGATGCCCTCAGAAGAAAGGAATGATCAACCACTTTGGAGTACTCTCTACCTTGATAGCCCAAGTCAGAATTAGTTTGATGGCACATTGTTATTATATGATTGGAATATTATTCCAGGGAATAGGGAAAAAAACCTCTTGTTAATAATAAATGGTAACAGCAGATAAACCAACCATTTACCTTCACACCAATAATATCTCCATCCTTCAGACTGTAGGGACTTAACTGTAAGCTGTCACTTTTCTTTTTCTTTTTTTTCTTTGAAACTTGCTGTGTCTGGATAAAGAAAAAACAGATGTGAGAAGAACAACACAAACTAGTATAGATTATGTGTTATTTGCAGATGGAGAGCAGCCATTGAGTATTTTACACTCTTATGTAAAAAAGCAACTTTTAAATAAAAAAATAATTAGGATTTTAATTTTTTTAAAAAACCTGTCGAATTGCATTTTGAAGGCTACTCCATGCATACTGATAACAGTAATATGATTTGTTCAATCTATTTCTGATGGGAGATAAAATATTAATAATTACTTACAGATCTATTAGTATTTTGGAATGGAATGGAAACGGATGCAACTGTGGAATGGAAAACCCAGTGCATAGGTAAGCAGAACTTCATGCATCTCAACTTGGCTTTTTGAATCTATCATATTAATAGATCTATTAGTAATTGTTAATACTTGATCAGAATCCTGTTGATGTTCACGTAAGTTTTGTATAACTTATCATGTTACTAATTACAGCTAAATGCTGAGGTGCTGAGATGCATCTTGGTTGCACAGTTGGGCACAGGATTAGACACATGACCAAGGCATACCCTGGAATGTTGTCAATCAGTTGCAGCAAATTATACAAGCCTCATTCAAATGCCAATAAGGCTTTATCCAGCAATTAATATCTGCACTACTTAAGATAACAATTTAAGATCAGGCAACACAGACACTTTCAAATCTACAGTATTATATTTTGATGTTCAAGCAAAACGTGTGCACATACATATCTAGAAATTAGCACCAAAATGGAGCAGAGGAGTTTTTGCATCCACATGCTTGCAAAGTTTGAGAAACAGGTGCAAGTATGGAATGGAAAACCCAGTGCATAGGTAAGCAGAACTTAATGCATCTCAACTTGGCTTTTTGAACTTATCATACTAATAGATCTATTTTGCAGCACAATAACAAAATATATTTGAAGTCAGTGTAGCTCGGGAGAGCTAAATTCAAATCACTTTGAAGCCAACTGAATGACTTTGGACATACACGTGATACTTTGTGTTAAGCACCTTGCAAATGAACAACACTTTCAAATAATTATATTTCTTGATCTTATATTGGCCAAAATTGTTGAAGGCATGGCTCGCATAGCTGCCTGACAAACATCTTCCACAGGTACCATCAAACAAAGAAGACATCGCTACACCCCTGACTGAATCACAACATGCTTGAAGGAACAGGGTTGTTCTACAACAAGCTAGAACAAAGCAGTCTATCACCAATCACTTGGTGGTGCCATGTGACATCTTCTGGCCACAATCCCTTGTCTTATAGGAGACAGAGCCTGTTATTTATTTAATATATTTTTATCCTGCCATTCTCCTCAAAAGGACCTAAGGCGGACTTTCTGCAGTCAAAAGTACGTTGGACATAAACTTTGAGCACTCTTCACACAATCAACTTATGCCACAATTCATCTCTGGGATGGGGTACAGCAGAACAGAGACTCGGCAAGACCGTGTACTAATTTTAATGGAAAAGTGTCTGTAAGAAGCACAAGACTGTCAAAGTGAGAAAGGCAGAGCTCCTGTCAAACAAAGACATGATATAATAAATTCTCTTAGCTGAGAAGACCACCATCAAGAAGACCACTCCTCAGAACAACATTTTAAGGCAATAATCTGGATGGCTCAAAGAGCACTGTTATGAGTGTGTGCAACATCAAATTCAGGTAAGAGGAGAACTGTTATACCAACAGAAGTGCCAACACCCATTTTAGGCTACCTGTCCTAAAATTCTGCTCATGCTGCTATTTGGTGTTTGAAAATGTTGGGAACAAGACCCAGTTCTAATCCAGAATGCAGAAGAAGCTAATAATTCTAGGAACGCTGCAGGAAAAGAGGCAATCTTTTAACCATTCCACATCTTGAAGGTCAGCCAGTAACATATCTGGTTGGTAGAGATGCCTGCCTGGGGGCCAGTAATACACTTGCTACATTTTTGGCACACCATGATTTAGGAGATGTTGCCATTCATCTTATAAGCAAAGAGGCACAGCCACTTCAGACCTGTATATCACAGATTCAGTGAATCCAGGCAAAGTGGCAATTTCCACCTGTGGAGATACACTCAATTCTTGTAGCCTGGAAAACAAAGGTGACCAAGGCCAGTGAAAAGCAATAATCACAACTGCTCCAGATGATGGTAGGTATCTTTCTTTCTCAACAGAAAAGATAAATCAAGTGGAACAATTTGAGTTGTCACTTTTGAGAAAGGAAGAACCTCTTCTTGGACAAGCCTTTTAGTACCACCTTGTGCTGTGCCTGCTGTACTAGATAGAGGGAACTCTTTGCTTTATTCACTATGAAACCATAACACATCAAGCAAGGCGTGCTGATGGTCATTATGTGTCTTTGTCTTCTTCCTGGATATGCATGGAAGAGGAAATCGCCCATACAGGGCTAAATGCAAACTCCTGACCATCTCAAATGACCAACCAGGGTTACCAAGATACTGAAAGCACTGAAAGTTAAAACCTTTTATCGGGGTATTGTGTATGAGAAGTAGAAGAACTCTAATTACAAGACAACCTGATAAAAATTAAGGGCTAGTGATGAGGCAAGTGTCAGCACAATGGAATATCATGCTATCTCTTCACTGGATCCATGAGAGAGTTTATCCAGTCCTTGACGAGCTCTGATGTAAAACCAGACACAATGCTGTCTTCCTGAGGGCAACCTCAGATGGTCCATGGCCACTAGTGATAACAGCACTTTTGTTAAAAGGAAAAGGGAAAAAAAGGGGGGAGGGAGTGGCTGCTTTCCCAAGTTGTGGAGATAAAGGATTGCATGGGCCTTCCTGGCAGTCACTATACTGCTTTCCAGAGGTACCAGTAGAGTTGATAGACTGGTGTGTGTGTTGCCCATTCAATGTCATCCTATAGAAAGTTGACGGGATGCCAAAGTCAGAGCATTCCACTCCCTTCTGTAGGAGCACTGCAGGTACTTGTCTCCTGATTAGAATGTGTGCAGTGTGGCAATGAAGTGTGGACTTTGGGCATTGAAGAAAGGAGGCCTCATCCAGCCAGGGTAAGGAAGCGCTGGGTGGTGCCAGGACTCCTTGAGGTGGTGCAAGTTCAAGAACAGGGCTGAAGAGCAAGTGGGACCAGTGGTCTGGTATAGCTGCCCCTACCTCCAAGTGTAAGGCCTAACCTTGGCAGAGGAGGACAGAGAAAAGGAAGATAAAAACAAGCATTTCTAGAAAAGCTGAATAGCCAACAGGCTTTTGTTTCTGCGTCTGTTCAGGAGCAGTAAGAGAAACCTGTTGACCTTGGAAAAACACACCCAAAGTTTGGTGGAAGAGAGGGGCTCTTCCTCTTCGCTGGAACTAAAAGTCTTGTTTTGGCCCTACCTATCTGAGATGGAAGAGTTCATCCTTGCTTGTTGGCTTCACTATTCCAGCTGTGAGAGTATGCTCTGGAATTTCAGTGTCATCAGGATGCAGAAGACACCCAACTCTATCTCTCCTTTCCATCTAATTCCAAGGAAGCTGTCTTGGTTCTAAACTAGTGCCTGATGTCAATAATGAGATGGATGAGGGCAAACAAAATGAAACTTATTCCAGACAAGACAGAGGTGCTCCTGGTCAGCCAAAAGGGAGATGAGGGAATAGGGATGCAACGTGTGCTGGATGGGGTTACAGCCCTCCTGAAAACTCAGAGAGATGAGGGAATAGGGATGCAACCTGTGCTAGATGGGGTTACAGCCCTCCTGAAAACTCAGGTTTGTAGTTTGGATGTACTCCTGGATTCATCCCTGAGCCTGGATGTCCAGGTTTAAGTGTGCCCAAGACTGCATTTGCAGTTAAAACTGGCATGCCAGTTGTACCCATTCCTTGAGATGTCTGATTTGACTACAGTGACACCTGCCTTAGTTATATCCTGCTTGGATTATGATGATGTGCTCTATGTGGAGCTGCCTTGGTTTGGAAACTGAAGGACTGTATCTCCCCATATAGGAGCCTTCTCGGTTCCTCAGAGGAGTCCCACTGCCATTGAAGGTACACTTGAGGGTCTTCTCTATGGCAGCTCCCAGCGTGTGAAATGCATTCCCTCAAATCAGGTTGCCTCCCCCCTCCCCTTTATCCTTCCACCAAGAGTGGAAGACCAGACTTTTTAGACAGGATTTTAATAATTGAATTCTGCATGCTGGTTTTTAGCTGAGCAGGTTTGTTTTTAAAGTTTTAAATCTTATTGTATTTTTAATTATTATTATAGTTTAATGTCTTTTTAATGCATAATTTATTGTGTTTTAAATTCTACTAATTTTAACATTGTGAACCACCTTGAGTCTTCTCATTGGAAGAAAGGGAGCCTAAAATAACACTAAATACTTAAAAATGAATAAATATTCTTTCACTGAAAAAAACTGTTGAAAGTAATATTTCATTTCCAAACTCATTTCTTATCTTACCCAACTACATATTGGCATCCATTCGAATTTTCCAGGAGAATATTTAGCAATTTCAATGTTCTCCACTGGCAAGGAATAGTACAAAGCAATTCTCTGTCTTAATGCAGATGCTGTACACTCTTTGGAGATATCCCATATCAAATCCACAGGATGGTAGTAATCTCTCTCCCCTGGTATACCCATCAGCACTCGTAGAAGCAAATCCTTTGGTCTGCGATCAGAAATATACAAAGCCAAATGATCATTTTCAAAATAGATGCCTCAATACATTTCACTGTAGCCTCATACATGTTCTATTTTGAAAGAAATATTTTGCAGGAAAATTGCTGAACAATTTTGGATTGAAACGACTTTAACCCCCTACCTCCAAGTTTTGAGGGGTAATAGTTACATTTCTTACCCAAGATTTTCTTCTGTGTGTAAAGGTTCTATACAAATTTCCAATCTGTTTCCTAGTTTGAGTGTGCTGAAGAGAAAATATAACAGATAATTTAAATTCAGTACTGAATGTTGGAAAAGTGGGATATTAAAAAAATATATACAATTTAATTTCAGTAGTGCAATTGGAAATGTGAAACACTAAACAAAATGAAAAATTAAATAAAAGTAAATAAAAATGTGTGCCACAAAGCTGGGTGATGTAAAGTTGAAAATTTTTATACAGCCAAGAATCATTTTAACCTAAATAAACTGCATTCTTGAAAATGCAAAAAAAAACACGATCAATCAATTAACCTTAAAAACCCCAAACAACTATCAAACAAGACTGCAATAGAACAACTGAGGGAACGTTGAGTTTTAAATCTATTGGTAAAAATACACTATATTAATATTTAATTCCACTTGAGCTTACTCTCATACACTTTAAACTCAAAGATAAATCCCACTGAGTTATCCCAAGAAATTGGGTATCAGATTGCAATTGTTGATGTTAGGAACCTACTGGAGCTGCTCATTGTTGTTTCGTAAAAGCTTGAAAGGGTGCTTATTTTCCATTGTCCAAACCCGGAGAAATGCTGGTAATGGAACACTAAACTCTTGAAAGGATGGCAGAGTCATCACCTGAAAGGGAAATAACTTTGCTAGAAATTACAGAACAAATAGTGGTTGAAAATCAAAACATTGAAATCTGCTATCTTTCCTATGCATTTCCTTGCACGATACAAATGTGTAAAACCATACGTTGTACGATGTTGCTTTTAATAAAATCAATATTTTCCCAACATTCTGAAGTCGGAAACTTACTAATTTTAGTACTAACTGCCAAAATCTAAAAATGTCACATCCTTAGGCATTTTGAAAGAAAAGTAGAACAATAATGACCTATATACAATGAAATTTTGATCACATCTTACTCAGGTCCATATCCACTTTTTACCAACAGGTATATGGGTGCACCACCATGATCAGAAGGAATCATGCTTTCTTGAATCTGAACCCCCATTACATAAGTAATGTTCATGTTACATTCTCAGAAGAGTAAAGGGAAACTGGAGGGTACATGTGTTCAAAACCTTCTTCAGATCTCATAATGTGCAGAAATTGTGACCACTGTCACAGAAGGCCCACAGACTCACATCAAGTCCTTTTTGACTGTGTAAAGTTAAGAAATTCTCACTTAATCCCTCTTGGACTGAATGTTTTTCATATAAATCATAGTTGTATAAATCATAACACAAGCATTTTCTTTTCATATCAAGATGTAGCTTGTGACCAATACCAGTTAGTCTCACCAAAAAAAGTCTGTTGTTCCTGAAGTCAATATTTGCCTCAATATTTGCTCCATGAAAGTTTTGTTTTTTAAACATTAGTTATTCTTCAGGAACTCAATGATGGAGCGTCTGGTCTGCACATAGAAGGGTCCAAGTTTAATCTTGGCATCTTATTTGAAGGATTTTAGGTAACCAGACTACAAAAGAAAACAAACTGACATCTTGGAGAGCAGCCTGATTCAGTATAACACAGGTTCTTGAGTTGGTAATAAAATGCTTCTTTCTTATTTAAAAGTCTTCCTCATTTGCTAAACTTCGGCAATCTAATTTGTAATGGTATTTTGCACTAATATACAGAGATGAGAAGTCCTGTAATACTTCAGGAGCATTTTTGATGAAAACTGTAGCAAGAAATGAGCAGCCAAAATCAAAAGATGGCAAACTCTAGAAAGTCAATAATTGCACCTCAGCAAAAAATTATTTTTCGTAACTGCCATTCCAAATGGTATTAAGTAAATATATATCAAAATGTATAGGGGACACATAAAATGTGAGTGGGTGTTCAATGGAACCTATTTTTAAAAAGATAATAGCTCTCATCAATAAAAGATTATTTCTAACCTGCATTTTCAGGTCTTCTAACAGAGCATCTTCTGAGATTTCTATGTCACCAATATAGATTAGGTCTATTTCACTTTCTAGAAATGTTGGTAAGTCTTTAAAAAAAAATCAACAGTTACAATTTAAAGAAATATAGATTTCTTCACAATTACATAATTAGTAAAACATCAATTAGTTGTCAATAACTGAATTTTCTTCTAAAATGAGTTCATATATCTTGGTCAGCCCTCCCAATATTTTTGGATTGTATGCAGAGTTGAAAATAATTTGAACGAAGTTCTTCCCCCCAAATTCACTTCAAAAATCAATTTAAAGTAATCACAAGGTATAACTAGATGGGGGAATTTGGAGTAATCTGTGTCACGTGAAGAAGAAAATGGAGTGGGTTTCTCCAACATTTTTCTACTGTCACATACATCACAGGGTATTTACAGAAGAGAACATTGCCCATTGCTCTATTTTGGAATGAATTAAGCAACCAAATTGACAGCATAATGGAATAATTCTTCCCAATTGTACCAAATATAGCGCCCTTGGCACTGTGCCAGAAACCAGCAGGTGAGATGGATTGTTCTGACTTTAAAAAAGTGGTTGCTAGAAAGCAGGGCGAAACAAATCACACCAAAACTGCACCAAATAGCAAACTATATGCTTGTATGCAGTTTCTCTCTTTCTGACCATTGAACATGAACCTTTAGAGACTTGCACCCCAGCCTGTAAGACTGGCATCGGTGGTGAACTGTATTTGAGGACGCAGTTGTTGGAAGGATTGTCCCATTGTCAGGTTTTGAGTAGAGCACCACCAAGAAAGTTGGGTGGGGAGTTCCGGGGTCACCCGTTACAGGGTGTGAGGTATGTCTGTTAGTGGGTTGAAAAGGGCTAGGAACTATGCTTGGAGTGACCTCATTTTGAGGTGTACGTGTTGCACTACTGATGTCATGGATGCCATAGTGCTGAGGACACATTGAACTGTTAATGCGGATACCAGCACATGAGGGGTGAAGATGCGAAGCAATGATATCAGATTGAGTCTTTCGTCTGTTGGGAGGAATGCGTGGAGTGGAGTCTATAAGTGCTCCTATATACTGGATAACACTTGTGGGCTGTAACCTGGATTTCTGTATGTTTACAGCAAGGCCGATACCATGGAGAAGGGACAGTGTAAAATGAATGTCTTGTTGTGCTTTGCAACGGAAGTGCGCTACGAGAAGCCGGTTGTTGATGTATGGGGAAATGTAGATCTTGTGAAGTCTGAGGTAAGCTGCTACAGGAGCCATGCATTTGGTAAAGGCTCTGGGAGCTGTTGCGAGTCCGAATGGAAATCTTTTGAACTGGTAGACTTGGGATCCCAGCTGGAAGCGGAGATAGAGCCTGTGGGAGGGATGGATAGATACATGGAAATAGATGTCCCTCAGGTCTAGAGATAGAGCCTGTGAGAGGGATGGATACATGGAAATAAGTGTCCCTTAGATCTATGACTGTGAACCAGCCCTTCTTGCAGAGTAGGGGGAGGACAGATTTGAGGGTAACCATACGGAATTTGGTGGTAATGATGGAGCAATTGAATTCTCTAAGATGTAGGATGGGGTGGAGGCCTCCCTCCTTTTCGGGGATGGTGAAATAACAAGATAAAAAATCTCTGTCTGTTTGGTATACTTGTTCTATGGCATCTTTGAGTAGTACTGACTGTATTTCATCTTGTAGGGTTTGCGACGGAAGTGTAACGGTATGTGATGGCGGAGGCATCTGATGGAACTGGATGTGGTATCTGCTTTTGACAAAGGAGAGGACCCAAACACCCATGGTGATCATTTCCCATACAGGTGTTTCCAGAGGGTAGGGGAAGGAATGTGTGTGTGTGTGTGTGTTGTTTGGATCTCAGCTGGCTGGATGTCAAATATGATGCTTGGTTTTGCGATCATTGTGCCTGGTTGTTGCCTATTGACATGGTTTGGTCTGGTAAGGTTGTTGTTTGTAGTAAGATGTGTAAGAACTTTGCCTCTGAGGCTGTTGATGGAACTTCTGGTAGGAGTTGTAGGGGTGGTGCTGTTGAGTGTGCTGGGGACATTGCAGGTACGTAGGGTAGACTCCCCAACGTCTAGCAGCCATTCTTTTCTTTTGGATGTTTTCCAGAATGCTGTCTGTCTCAGCATTGAAAAGACCTGACCCCTCAAATGGGAGGTCTTCAATACAAGCTCTCACATCTTTAGCGAGACCAGCAGTTCTTAGCCAGGAAAAACATCAAAGGGCCATGGAGGTAGCCATGGATTTAGCTGTGGCCTGACAGTATGTCTGGCTGACAGCATTTGCTGCTTGGCGACTGAAAGCCTTTATGGAAGAGCTTCAATGAAGGTGGACATATTGTCACAGAGGAACCGGTGATAAGCACCCATGGCTACTTGATAGTTGGCGACTCTCATGGTGAATGCAGCAGAAGAATATAGCCATGTGCCCGTGGAGTCAATTCGCCTGCTGTCTTTATTGGGCGGTATGAGAATCTGGCAATGTCGAGATTGGGAAGCCTCGACAAAGATCAAATTTGGGGCTGGTTGTTTCTGAAGAAAAAACGTTCCTGGATCATGAACTCAATAAAGGTTGTCAATGCACTTCAACATTGAGTGAGACAAAGTTCATTTTGTCCACGAGCAGTGGGCAGTGCTAAGAAGGGATGGCAACAGAAATGTGAACTCGAGCTGTGGTGTCTTTGGAGAGTGGATCGTAGAGAAGATCCGCTGGCTCAGTTGTGGGTCTGTATATTTGGAGATCCAGGGACTTAGCCATGCACACCATTAATTGTGTGTAAGTTTGAAAGTCCTACGCTGGAGATGGAGGGCTGGCATCTGCTTAATCAGATTCTGGTGACGTGAGAAAAATAGATGGTGTTTGCGGTCTAGAGCTCTTTTTGGAATATCTGACTTTGTCTCGAGAATCCGTGGACTGAGGATCAAAATCGATATCGAGGGGCTGTGCCTTGAAGTATTGGCACCAATGCCTGGATGTTGATGTCAACACTGGTTGATGTTGAGGGTCGTCCCTTGGTATCGACACTGATGGGGCGTCCATGGGCAGTGGTCAATAGAGGAGTCAGTATCTTGATGGTGGCAAAATGGAGGTTGCTGCTGAGATGGTATAAGTGTCAATGGACCACACTGGATTGCTGTGGAGTAGACAGATGCCAGTGATGCCGAGCAGGATGATCGATCTTGATCCTCCTGACAGGCAGGAAAGTAATAGTTCACCGGAGCTGCAAATGCACCCTGAGCCGAGGAGTATTGATCAGCTATTCTGGGCTTTTTAGATGCTGGCTGGTGGTAAGCCGTATGTATCTCTTGAGGATCATGAACGTAAGATCATTTCGACATCAAGGGCTGCCTTAGGTGAAGCCTCTGATGTGGCACTGCCATCGAACCAGGGAGAGCAACCGATTGATAGTGCTTGGCAGGCTTATCTGTTGTGCACTGATCGGGGCAAATGGCTACCCGATGCTGGCAGGCTTATCTGTTGTGCACCGATCGGGGCAAATGGCTACCCGATGATAGTGCTGAGTGTGGGTCGATGCCGCATATGAAGATATGTTGCCAGTCTCGCATGGCTGATACCCTTCATAACGTGTCAGAGGCCAAGGTGGTAGGCCTGTTGTGATGGGAGTAGGACACAGGATCAGATTGCACTTCAACTCCTTGCATATCGGGAGAAGCAACCAAGGAGGGCCAGACTGTTGAGGACTAGCCAGGGAGGATGTGAGCTGATCCACCCATTCCTACCATTCTGGTGACTGTGATGGATAAGGCTGATGAGATGGAAGCACTTCTTCATCCAAGGGTGAACCCATGCATATCAGATCCTCAGATTCTGGGAGCTGCAGGGAAGTAACCCTCAGGGATTTCGCTTTCAAAGATTTATGTTTCTTTGGTGGCAAGGGTTCTTGAGCCAAAGGGACATCGGTGGACGGCTTCCGTTTGGTGGTCATTTTTTATGTCAATGGTTTCGGCATGGAGTGTTTGGTTTTGTGCCCCTTAGTGGACAATGTTGAAGGGGCATTGGAGCGTGATGGCATGGCGGAAGGGAGCTGTTTTGGCATCTCTGAAAAGACTTTGTCCATGGCCTTAGCCTGTGAGGTGGACTTACAGGCAGGCTGAGCCATAGACTTTGTAGGCTGGAGGGAATCATTCCCAAAGCCGAAGCTTCAGTATAGAAAGACTACAGAGAACTCCATGTTTGAAATTCTTACAGTGAGGGCACGAAGAAGTCTGGTGGACCTCACCGAGACAGAAAAGATAGTTAACGTGGCTGTCAGAAAGTGGGATCTTGTTGACACAGACCACGCAATATTTAAATGGGCCCACAGGAGCCATGAAAATAAGGGGAAAAGAGGAAGAGGGGGGGTTGGCCGTAAGACCACAGCAACAAAGAAAAAACTTCTTTTAAAATAATAGTAATAAAGGAATCGAGAATAAACTTTCTTTCACTTTAGGAAAAACTCACAGAAGCGATCGATATGGGGCTCTCAACATGGCAGTTGAAAAAAACTGAAAGGAGAGTCTTGGCACCAAGGTACTTATACTAAGGGAGAGGGGTCTGCACTAATGTGGGTTTTTTGCTACCACAGAAGCTCTAGAATCTTCCAACAAGGCTCCGCGCAGGCGCGGATTACCCAGGGTGTGATTCACAGAGGCCATGAAGAACTGAATTCTCCCATCATGTATCTTTGAAATTCTTGCTATTTGTTTTTCAAAGGCTTAATCTTCATCATGCATACATTACTGAAACAGCAACGTCTACGTTGGGTTGGGCACGCCGTTAGAATGGCTGATGGTCGGATTCCCAAGGATCTCCTCTATGGAGAATTAGTGCAGGGAAATCGCCCGAGAGGAAGACCACAGCTGCGATACAAGGACATCTGCAAGTGGGATCTGAAGGCCTTAGGAATAGACCTCAACAGATGGGAAACTCTGACATCTGAGCGTTCAAGCCTGGAGGCAGGTGTTGCATCACGGCCTCTCCCAATTTGAAGAGACCCTTGTCCAGCAAGCCGAGGCAAAGAGGAAGGCACAAAAGCAGCAAAAGCAGGGAGCTGGACAGGGGACAGAATAGATTTGTCTTCAGTGTGGAAGAGATTGTCACTCTCGAATTGGCCTTCTCAGCCACACTAGATGCTGTTCCAAGTCCTCCATACAGGACATGATACCATAGTCTCTCGAGACTGAAGGATGTCTACTACTAATCTTCATCATCTCCTTCATTGGGCAGTTGGTAATAGACTCCAACAACCATGTTCTTTTTGTTTTTCACCCCAATTACCGGTATATTCATCCAGATGTTTGTGGTGGGACATCAAGAACAAGTCTGAAACTTATTTCTGTTGTATATGTTGCAAAAAGCTGTGATTTTACTGCCACATACAAATGAAATCAACTTCCAAAATCTTCTTGCCTAGTTTTGCTGGTGTAACATACAGTATATGGTGTAACTTTTGGAGAATTACACGAGCTAAGATTAACTGTAGACCATCTGTTATATACTGAGGTGGCTGACAACTAATAATGTCTGCACTGATTTCTTCACTTAAAGCAACCTACTTCCAAAGCTAAATCTAGGTATGAAAGAAAGATGAGCCTCCTAAAAACTACCAAAACAGGCCAAGAAATGATTATTTACATTTATTTCCAAAAATATATCTAAATAAAAACTATTCTTGAGATGGGCAGTATCGGGATAATTGTTCCTAGTTCTGAAAAATTCTTAATTGCCTTTTTCCTTTATGTTTCTACTTCCCTTGATAACTTACCTTCTGATGCAGATAGTCCCCAAACCCCCATGTTTTTGCTCCAGCAGTTCACATGGTCCTGAATATTCTTTCTGTTCTTCAACTGAGAGAAAGGTTTATACCACCAGATGGGCACTTTCAAGAATCCCTTTAAGAATTAATAATAAGTGTTCAAATAAATTGGCAATCAAAATGTGGCTTTAGAACAGATACTGACAGTAGTGTGAACAAAAATTTAAATAATAGCATAAAGACAAAAGAAGTGCCTTGTTGCATTAAATTCATTTACTGAGCCACTGCCAGAGATAGACAGCTTCCATAGGCAGAGGGCACAGTGGTGTGCCATTCACTCTCCTCACATCAAAACCTAATTTCAGCTAGCATATGTACTCCATGCATGTCCTCTGTCCCCAGCCCAGCATCCTTCTCAGTGATCAGTGCTGCCTAGATAACTTTCTAATGCCTTAGATCTAAAGCACCTGCTGCATAAGCACATGCAGTATCTCCATGCTTAAAAGACTTTCCTGTTATATCTTATGCTTGCAGCTGGTATTCACACTGGCAGATGTCTTGGGTGAGTAAGAGAAACTGTATGTGTGTGTTATAATCCTGCCAAACCCTATGAGGTAACTTAGGATAACAGATAGTGACTGCCCCCAAGTGAACTGCATGCTTGAACGGGGATCTGAAGCCAGGCCTCCCCAAAATTCTAACTGCTACAATTTAACACAGAAGTTAAGTGTTTTATTTATTTATTTATTGGATTTCTATCCCGCCCAAAGGTCTACTCTGGGCAGTTTACAAATTTAAAAACAGTAAAACCAAAAACCCATATTATAGATCCAAGGTGGCGAAAGTATAAGAAATTAGAATATGGCAGGAGGGAAAGCCTGCCCAAATAGCCAGGTTTTAAGTTTTACCTTTGGAGTAAGCTTCCCCTCAGCAACATTCAATGTCTCTCCACTGGAGAGATTGAGTTCTTTCAATGTGACATCCTGAGGAGAGAAAAGGTAACACAAAAGAATGCCATGTGAATGTCAAAGGTTAAACAGGCAAGCTTGTCTTTATTTTTTTTAATTTTAATAATATTTTATTAAAAGAATACAAAATACACCTACTACTACAGAAAAAAACCTATAAAATACAAAACAAAACAATACAATAACGTACAATTATCCATGTGCACCCATCACCTTCAGGACTAGCATTACACTTCATTCCATCCATTTTCACTCCAAAATTTCATTGTTTCTTCTCTCGGTGTAAACCCCCTCCCTCTCCGAAATACATGTTCTAAAAATACATTCCATATTTTCTTAAAATCGTTATTTTTCATTTGGCCTTTACTTATTTTCATATCACATGTCAGTTTATCATTAATTGCCATGTCCCATAATTGTCTTTAAAAGAGAGAAAAACAAGAATCTAAGCAGTAGAGCTACAGAAACTTCCAATTTGTAAAGGACACTTATGAACATCATAAATAAGCAGTTTATAAAACTGTTACGGGTTATTGTAACTAAAAACACATTGTTTATCAATCCCTATGTTCATTATCTATCAGAATTAACCCTTCCGTAATAAATTTGCTTTACTTCCTCATTTAATGCTTCTCCAGCTTCATAGCACCAATCAACTTTTCTCAGATGCCAGTTGTCCCCTGCAAGCAAAACAGAACATTTGAAATCAAATTGGAACTGTGCTCCTATACCAGCCATGGCGAACCCACGGCACGTGTGCCACAGCTGGCACGCGGAGCCCTTTCTGCTGGCACACAAGCCGTAGGTCGCCAGATCGCTACTCCCCCTGCCCCCCCCCACACAGCTAGACCTCAGGAAGCGGCTGCAGCCGGTGCTGGCGCTTCGGCAGGCGGATCCGGAGCAACTGGTGCTGGCAGTGGAGGGGCCTTGAGGCACCTCCGTGCCGGGATTCCCCCTTCCGCCGCCACTTACGGGTCCTCTGCCACCGCTGTTCTGGCAGCGGCACACCCCCCGCTATTTTTTGTTTTGTTTTTTTCCCAGTTTGGGCACGCGAGCCCAAAAAGGTTCGCCACTACACTGAGCGGCTTATTGAATACTAACAGAGATGCCGAACTCCACAAGTGTTCTTTCACTTTTGATTTCCCTTTTCTCTCCACAGGCATTTTGTGGAGATGCCCAGACGCCCTGATGAAATGCACATCCCAATCCTTACCCCTCTCTGTTGGTTATCACTCATTGACTAATCAGGTTACTGTAACATACAGATAGATCTTAATTAACTAAAATCAACTACTCATTGTTTAAAACAAAATAACCTCAAAATGCATAATTCCCAGGTCTCTTTCATACTACAATTTCCAGAATCAGCCAGACCAGCCAAGAAGGCATGTGAACTAGGGAATTCTGGGGCTTGTAGTTCAAAAAAGTAACTTTTCCACCTCTGCCCTCCCCCCAGCATCCATGCAAAGCTTCTGGTGGTGAGACTTCATAGTTTTGTAGCAAAGATAAACACAGAGATGGATACACATTTTTAAAATTATTATTATAAACAATATACAAAATATCTGAAATAATAGAGCAGGAAGTTTGTGGATTCCTTCTGATAACATTCAATTTCTGTAATGCCAATCTGCACAGAAAATGTAGATGTGGGGAACTGTGAAGACAACTTTGAGGTTCCTGCCTAAGCCTGTTAAAACAACCTAATATTTCATAATGATAAAAACCTACTAACTAGGTTTTTTATTTACTTATAAATTTTCACATTACTCATACGTAACATGCAATACATAACTAAACTATAAAGAACTTCAAATTGCTGAATCCAAACAAAGAAGGCTCACTGTAAATGCTCAAGAAATCTTTGAAAAATACTTGTATTGTCTTAGTATTTCTCTCAACTTTATCCTATTTTCCTTTAACAAAAGTGATGAAGATAATCAGTCAATTCATAGATGGTGATTAGAAATCATTTTTCCCTTCCATCTATTCAACTATATAATAGTTATACTAACCTGTTAAGCCAGATTTCTTCAGCATTAAGTTTAGGCACTAGGAGAAAAACACCATTTAACATTAGTACAAGTACAAGCAAACAGCAAAATTTATTGATCCAAAGAACGAAAGGTATGCTGGTTGACGGCTGGCTCACCGCCGTGACTAGTGCCGTTGACACGATCGCACCTAAACGCCCTCTCCGCCGCAGAGATCGCCCGGCGCCTTGGTTTAACCAGGATCTTCGGGTGTCGAAGCGGGTCAGGAGACGGCTGGAGCGCAAATGGAGAAAGGACCCGACGGCTTTCAATCGTATAGCTGTTAAGGTCGCAACTAACCTTTACCAGTCTAAGGTAAAGGCTGCCAGTAGAACTTACCTCGCTAACCGGATAAGTGAGGCATCCAACCAGCAGGCGGAACTATTCCGTATAGTACGTGACCTATCCGGAGTTGGCCCGGGAGATAGGCCTCCCCCTAGTCTTACCCCGGACCAATTTGCAGCATTTTTTAAATCCAAAGTGGAGGCCATCCGCCGGGATCTCGCTCCTTTTTTGAATACAGTGAGTCAAGTTGGGATGTCCAGCGCTCCGTCTTGCCCGGTGTCTTTTGACTCTTTTCAGCCCGTATCACCCGACACTGTGACCAGGACGCTTGATCGCTGTCGTGCCACCACCTCCTCTTTGGACCCCTGCCCGGCCTGGCTAATCAAGGCAGCCAGGCCCTCAACAACGGAATGGGCTACTGTAATAATTAATGGGTCTTTCCTTGAGGGTAGATTTCCCTCTGCCCTCAAGGAAACACTCATTAGGCCCATAAGAAAGAAACCCAGTTCGGCGGCGGACGAAATTGGCAACTATAGGCCCGTCGCCAATGTTTCTTTCTTAAGCAAGGTAGTCGAGAGGGTGGTGGCCGATCAGCTCCAGGCGTTCCGGGATGAAACAGATGCCCTGGATCCATTCCAATCGGGCTTCAGGCCGCGCCATGGGACAGAAACGGCATTGGTCGCCCTGTGTGATGACTTATTGAGGGAGGCCGACAGGGGCAAAGTGTCTCTGTTGGTCCTCCTCGATATCTCAGCGGCCT